GAAACCCATGTGATCATGATTCGTTACCTTTTTAATGTGTTTTTGTATGTGATTTGCCAGTATTAAGAATGTTTGTATCTGTGTTTATCTGGGATGTTGGACTGAAGTTTTATTTATTTGATGAGTCCTTGTCCAGTTTTGGTATCAGGGTAATACTAGCTTCATAGATTATGTTTGGAAGAGTTCCTTCCTTTTCTATTTTATGGAATAATTTGAAGAGGATTGGTATTAGTTCTTCTTTAAAGGTCTGGTAGATCTCTACTGAGAATCCATCCTGGGCTTTTCATTGTTGGTAGGCTTTTGATGGCTTCTTCAATTTTCTTACTTGAAATTGGTCTGTTTAAATTTTCTATATCCTCCTGATTCAATTTGGGTGTGTCATATATCTCTAGGAATTTGTCAGTGTCTTCAAGATTTTCTAGCTTATTGGAGTATAAATTTTCAAAATATTTCTGATTATCCTATTTCAATAGTGTTTGTGGTGATATTTCCTTTTTCATCACAAATTTTAATAATTTGAGTTTTTCTCTTGGTTAGCTTGGCTAAGGGTTTATCAATTTTGTTTATTTTTTTCAAATAACTAACTTGTTTCATCGATTTTTTTTCATTGTTTTAAAATCTCAATTTCATTGATTTCAGCTCTGATTTAAATTATTTCCTATCTTCTATTGATTTTGGTGTTGAATTATTTTTCTCTTTTTCTAGGGTCTTGGGATATAATAGTAGATTATTTATTTGGTACCTTTCTGTTCTTTTAATGTATGAGCTTAATGATGAACTTTCTTCTTAGAACCACCTTCATAGTGTCTCATAGATTTTTCTATGTTGTATCCCTGTTCTCATTAACTTCTAAGCATTTTTTCATTTCACCCTGATTTCTTCTCCTATTCATTCACCATTTAATAGTGAATCATTTAGTATCCAGCTTAGAGCAGTTTCTGTTTTTTATCTTATTGTTGATTTTTAATTTTATCACATTATGATCTGGTAGAATACAGAGTATTAACTCTTGCTTTATGGCCCAAGACATGTTCTGTTTTAGAAAATGTTCCATGTGCTGCTGAGAAGAAAGTGTATTCAGTCATTGATGGATAAATAATGCTATATATGTCTGTTAAGTCTAAATTATTAATTGTAATTTTTAGTTCTATGGTTTCTTTAGTTTGGAAGATCTATCTAATGATGAAAAAGCCATGTTAAAGTCACCCAGTATTATAATGTTCTGCTCTATTTGATTCTTGATATTGAGAAGGGTTTGTTTGATGTACATAGGTGTTCATTTTGGGGGGGCATAAATATTTGCAGTTGTTATTTCTTGTCATTGTATGACTTCCCTTCTTGATCCCTTCTGATTAACTTTGGCTTGAAGTCCACTTTATCTGTTATGAGACTAGAAACCCCTGCTTGTTTACATGATCCGTGTGAATGATGTTTTTTCCCCTTCCTTTAAATTTCAGTCTGTGGATGTCTTTGCCCATGAGGTGAGTTTCATGGAGACAGCATATTGTTGGGTCTTGTTTTTTAATCCAATCTGCCAGCCTATGTCTTTAAAAAAATTTTTTTGGAGTTGTAGATGGACGGAATGCCTGTATTTTATTTATTTATTTTTATGTGGTGCTGAGGATGGAACCCAGTGCCTCACACATGCTAGGCAAGCTCTGCCACCGACCTACAGTCCCAGCCTCAGCCTATGTCTTTTGATTGTTATTATTGAGAGATGACTTTTTCTTGTCATTTTGATTTATTTCTAGTTTTTAATTTGAATTGGATTTTCCTTTGATTGACTATAATTCTGTATATTCATCCCTCTTGCTAGCATTGCTTATCAGCTTTCAAGTGCCTGTTTTGCAGACTTAAGGTCTTTGGGATTACTCTCTGTCTCAGGTATAATCAGCAAGTTTTAAGAGAAGCTTGCTCTTTTCAAAAAAATCAATCTCATTTTTCCTATGAGTTTGAGAAGGTGATAATGTCTAATCCCAGCATGGAGTAAAATTGTTTGTTAGGTACAGGATAGGAAAATTGAATAATAGGATCTTTTAAAGGATATTTTTTTACTATTTTATATAATTTATATAATGATTTTAAGATCATTAGAATTAAATTTATTAAAATATTAATTCTAAATTTGGTATGCATTTATTTTTTATAATCTACAGAATTGTACTTCCCCTTGATTACATAGATAATATAAAATTGATTATATTAAATGGTTTAGAACAAGATTGTAACTTGCAAAATCAGACTGTGATAAAACCTTCACTCTTTCCATTTCACGTTTTCCATTGCTTCTTTTGATATTAATCGAAATATTATCGTTATTTTAATATGTAAGACCTAATTTATGCCTTTAAAATAGCATGAAAGATGAAGAACAAAAGGTGTACTATACACAAAGGTCAAAATAATTATACCATTTTTATAAGACTCAGATTCCTTTATGTTTAGGCTGACAAGTATTAATTTCCTGACGATATCATTCAGCATCTTTGGGGGAGGTATTTTGTGTTGTCTATTTAGCTGTTTCTTTTCCTGTGGTGATGCTAGTTGCTTTTTTATTTTTTAAAAAACCTCATAAATACATGTATGACTCCTGCTGGAGAGAACAGTTTGTTTATCTTTCCAGACCTTTTTTTTAAGCATATAAACATACATTAAATCTGTTTTACAAAAACAGAATCATTGCATACAATTTACAAAGAACTTGCTGTTTTCTCTTAAGTATACATCTTTATGCATCTATTCATCTCAGGAAATATAGATTATTAAACAATCCTTTTTGGATGAATATATTTTCCTTTACATGAAGAACTCTTTTACATTTTTTTCTTTTTTTCGAATCTAATAGTTACTATTTTCGAGTGAATTAATTGATAAAGTGTATCTTTTAATAGTATCATTAATTTTCAGCTTTTCTGGGGGAAGGATTTTCTTTCAATAATATTTTTATTCTCAAATGAAGAAAATGATCACATTTGGCTGTAAAGAATGCCACCCCAGGGGCTGGGGTTGGGGCTGGGGCTGGGGCTGGGGCTGGGGCTCAGGCTCAGGCTCAGGCTCAGCCATAGAGTGCTCGCCTTGCATGTGCAAGACCCTGAGTTTGATCTTCAGCACCACATAAAAATAAAAATAAATAAGTGAAGTAAAGGTATTGTGTCCAATTGCAACTAAAAAATAAATATTTTAAAAAAGAATGCCATCCAAGATCCAATATGTAATCTTTTCAGTGTTCTCATTGATAGTGATGCCAGAGATATTTTATGATTGGGCATGGTTTTCCTCTGCAGTGTTAATTTTACCCTCACAAGGGCTAACACAGAGAACGGGAATTGTTGTAAGAATCCTTGTGCCAAAAGAGAAATTGAATTTTATGAAAATCTAGTACAGACATTGGTGTGGCACTGTTACTTCAAGAAAATTCTCAGGAATTGTGTATAAGGCGCTTTAGGGACTGCCTAAATAAAATCTTGTTAAAATGTAGTTCAGTTGTTTTTCATTTATCTGCTTTTTCTCTTTTTAAACTTCCCGTTGGTTTCATTATCTATTTTGCTGCCTTCCTATTTTACCTTATTTCTAATTTATTATTTACTTACTGTTTCTTATTACTGTCTTATATCTTTTCTCTGTCTTTTTAACTCCCTCTACCCACAACTTCCTTCTACGTTTTAGGAAATATTTTTCAGCTTCTGCTTCTTGTTTCTGAAACTTTTTCCATGTTTCTATCTAGAATCAGATTCTCCCATAATTTTTAAAACTGAGATTCTATCCCATTTTATCCCTGTTTGATGAGAGCTTTTTGTGCTATACCCTTCCAAAGGTAGTAGCATATGGGATGGCTTCCTGTACTATGTATGCCCATCCTTGGCCCAATGCGAACCAGGAACAAAAGACAGAACCTATTCCCTTAGCAAGAACTGGGGAGGCCAGACTCTCTTAAAATAGTGCATGTGTCATGCATCATCATTTCCATAATTATCTAATATAGCCATTAACATAAAAGCATTACTAATTGAGAAAGCATGGGTAATATAAAACAAATAATTGCATACATGTTATATTTTTATAACAAATTTCATATTACAGAAGTAGTATTTAATTATAGGAACATTTTGAAAATATGAAGAAAATAAAACATTGCCAGTCCCCAGCAGCCACAATTTCTATACATTATTCTTTAAGTTCTCAATGTATAGTAAGAATCAAAAGTGCTGTCAAAGTTCAGAAAACCAATACAAAACCATGAGTAGGTGAGAAGTGGGTGATAAACATGGGGAACAAAGAAGTTAAGCTAGGCTATGAAGTATACTTAGGATTTCATCTATTTGGTGGCAAGGTGTTCTGTAGGGATGCAATGGAAAAAGATGTACAAAAGAGGTGTGGCCTATAGATAAAACTTTAATAGACTTTCCTTATTGGGTTTGCAAAGATTTATGCCTATTTTAGGTATGATATACAGAAATAGTCACTTTCCCCTGTTGATAGGAATGTATATTGGCAAAGTCAACTTGGTAGAGCAGTTTCACATTATATATTAAAATTTAGAGCATTCTTACCCTTTCATCTAGCAATTTCATTTGTAGAAGTTAAGTACACAGATAGTCATAAGTATGCAAAAAATGTACAGAGATTTTGCATAAATTGTTATTATCCTTTCCTTGAAAGTTTAGTAAAACTTACTAGTGAGGTCATCAAGATCTAGAGTTTTTCTGTGGAAGAGTGTTGAGGATTTCTTTAGTTTCTTTAATTATTATGGAGCTAGCTAAGATATGGGTTTTTTTTCCAATGAATTTATGTAGGAGTTTTAGTTTTCATCAGTAAGGTTAATCCAGATACCTGGCCTGTCATATATCGTTTATATTATAACAGAATTGAGTTAAAATCCACAGATTTGAGTTCAAATTCATGTCTTAACAAATGACTTTCTGGTTTTTAACCTTGAATGATCAAGGCTTAAGTGAAACAAGTTCTCATTTCTTACTAACATTGTATATTTTATTTTCCAGCTACAACTTCAACAACTACCACCACCACTGTTACCACCAATACTACTACCACAATTACTAGTGGCTTTAACCTGAATCTAAGACCACTGACATCCCCTGGGATTAATAACACTGATCCAGTCAGTGTTTCTTCTGTACCTCTTACTTCAACTGTTAAGTAAGCTTATTTATTTGAAAATTCCTTTTGTGTTTCATTTTATCATGTACAAGGCATAGTTTGCTTGTATACCTTAGAAAATACTAGAAAGTTAGATATATGAGTTTTTGAAACACAGAACAATTTCTGTAATTTAGGAAGTTGAATAATCAAGGGCCTTCTGAATACCATTATAATACAATTATTAATATTACTAATAATAGCAACTTTTATTATGCAGTTACTCTGTTTAGTAAGATAACAGTACTTTAAAAATATCATGATTTAATCCTCACAATAACCTATGAGATAGACACTATTTTGTTCCCATTTTATGGATGAGAAAACTGGAGCACATAAAGATTTTATAATCTGCTTATAGTCAGGTACTAGGTAACAACAGTCGAGCCAGGATTAAAATTCAGACAAACTCTAGAGCCTGTATTCCTACATACTTTACAAAATATCCTGTATTTCCCTATTTCTTCCCCCAACAATAACATCTTGTAAATACTATAGTATAAATGTCATAACCAGGATATTGATATTGATGTAGTCAGGATATGAAATGGGTCCTTCACTATAAGGATTCCTCCTGTCACCCTTTTATAGCCACATTCACTCCTTTCCCTTACCCTGGGCAACAATTAATGTGATTTTCATTGCTGTTATCAGGATATTTCAACAATGTTACACATTGTTGATTGGCTCTTTTCATTCAGTGTAAATCCTTGACACCCCCGCCAAGTTTTCAGGTGCATCAATCAATCATTTGTTCTTTTTTATTTCTGAGTGGTACTCTATGGCATTGTTGTATATCATTATTTAAACATTCTTTCACCTGTTGATGGATATCTAGGTTGTTTCAGTATTTTTGGCTACTATGAGCATAGCTGGTAAAAACATCCATGTACAGGTCTTTTTGTGAACATATACCTCATGTCTCTAAGATGAATGCCTAGGAATGCTGATTCTGGGTGGTTTGAAAGTTTTATGTTAATTTTTTAACTAGCAATCTCTTTTTCAGAGTGGCTGTGTTATTCTACATACTTACAGCAATATATGAGTGATAGAGATTTTACATACTCTTGTCAGGGTTTGTTGTCACTATTTTTTATCTCAGCCCTTCTGATAAATTTGATGTGATACCTTATTGTAGTTTGAATTAATATTTCCCTGATCACTAAAGATGTCGATCATTTCTTTAAGTATATGTTTTCTATTGTTATGTCCTCTTTGGTGAAGTGTCTATTCATATCTTTGTACATTTTCTACTTTTGTTATTTGGTTTTTTATTGTTCAGTTTTGAGAAGTTGTTATGTATTCTAGATACCAGTCCTTTGGCAGATATGTGCTTTTAGTATCAATTATAAGAAAACACTTTGTCTAGCTCTAGTTCTCAAAGTTTCTCCTCATTTATTTTTAAAAATTAATCTCACATCTTTTCCCATTCTTCTACTTTCAACCTGTCTGTCCTTGTCTTTGAGGTGAGCTTCTTATGGATAGTATGTTGTTGGATTTTGTTGTTGTTGTTTGTATTTTACTGGGCATCTAACACAAGGGTGCTTTACCACTGAACCACATCCCCAGCCCTGCTTATATATATATATTTTTTTATTTTGAGACAGGTTCTCACTAATTTGTTGAGGCTAGCCTTGAATTAGCAATCCTCCTTTCTCAGTCTCCCAAGTCACTGGGATAACAGGCAGGTGCCATTGCAGCTAGATTTTTTTTTTAAATCTATTCTGCCAATCTGCCTTTAAATTGGTATATTTAGCACATTGACATTTAAAGTAATCATTGATAAGTTGGGTTTAAGTCTGATGTTTTATTCTTTGTTACTTTTGATTTTTATTCTTTTGATTTTGTTTTAAACCTGGAGAATGATAATAATAAAATAGGTAATATTTGTATATTAAAAATTAGCTGGGCACTGTGGTGCATGCCTGTAATCCCAATGCTTAGGAAGCTGAGGCATGAGGATGGATCATGAGTTAAAAAGCCAGTCTCAGCAACGGCAAGGTGCTAAGCAACTCATTGAGACCCTGTCTCTAAATAAAATACAAAATAGGGCTGGGGAATATGGCTCTGTGGTTGAGTACCCTTGAGTTCAATCCCTAGTATCCAAAAAAAAAATTCCAGGAAAAGGGGCTGGGCTGTATGTAGCTCAGTGGTAAAGCTCCTGCCTCACACGTGTGAGGCACTGGGTTCCAGCCTCAGCACCACATAAAAATAAATAAAGATATTGTATCCATTACAACTAAAAAAAATATTTAGGAAAAAAATTCCAGTAAAAGAGGAAGAGAGAACAGGATGAAAAGCATATTCAGGAAAGTAAAATTTGAAAAGTCCCCAACCTTTTGGGTTGTTTGAATATTGTGATGGTTCTACCTTGTTCTATTTATAGTGTTTTTTAATATATTGCATTATGTAATTTTTATATAATATAATATATGTATATATATATTTTTTTACTCAATGCTTCTGTACATGGGTTAACTTATAATAATATAGTGACACTATAATTTTACCACTCTGGTTGAAATATAAAAACCTTACTTCTATTTACTTCCTTTTACCCTCCTTACCTTTTATATGTAGTTGTCTCAAGTATTTCTTCTGTGTACACAGAGTATTATAAAGCATGGGGTTATATTTTTATTTGACTCATGAAATATCACAAAGAACCTCAATAGAAATAGAATAGTATATTTACTGTAATAGAAATAGTATGGTAATAGAAATAGTATATAGTATAGTAATAGAAATAGAATAGTATATTTACTATTCTTTTTACTTATTTTGATGAGCTTCTTTCTTTTATATGATGTTCCAAGTCTTCTGTTTTTATTTCCGTTCAATTTAGCTAATCTTCAAGGGTCAGTTTATTAGTAACAAATTAATTTTACTTTGTATGAAATATCTTTATTTTCTCTTAATTTCCAAAGGACATTTTCAATAGATATGGAAATAATTAGTCAACACATTTTTTTTTAATCTTTTGGTGCTTGAAAAATGTGCTACTTACCTCTAGCCTCCATAGTTTTAGACAAGAGATCAGCTATCACTCAGATTGTTCCCTTCCAAGAAATGCATTTTTTCCCATTCCGGTTGCTTTCAACTTTTTTTTTCCTTTGTCTTTAGTTTTCAGAAACGTAATTACTTTGTGTGTTAGCATGGATTTGTTTGAGTTTTTCTGTTTGGGGTTCATTCAACTTGAATCTGTGCATTTGTATCTTTTGCCAAATCTGGGGGACTTTTCAGCCTGTTTTTTCCTGAATACAGTTTTAGTTCTGTTCTTGCCGCCTTCTTTTTCTGGAATTTTTAATATATGACTGTTACTTCCAGCCCTTGAGACTTCCCCCACCCCACTTTTTCTTGCTTATGTTCTCTTTGTTGTTTTATAAATTCTAATTACCTGTCCTCAAGTTCAGTGATTGTATCCTCTGTCGACTCTACTAATATCCAAACTCTTAAAGTGAGCTTGTCATTTCAGTTGTTTTTACAGTTCTATATTTTCCATTTTGTTTTTTTTAATAACTTGTATTTCTTTGCTATTTTTTAATTTGTTTCAAGAGAATTTGAAATTGCTAGTTCAAATCTTTTTTAAACTATATATATATAAAAAATCATATGTGGTGCTAAGGATCAAAATCAGGGCCTTGCATATGCCAGGTGAGCGCTGTACTGCTGAGACACAACCCCAGCCCCTGTTCAAAGCTTTTTTATGGTTACTTTTTAATTTTTTTCATATAATTCCAACATTTGATACATCTTAATGTTGGTGTCTGAGTTGTCTTTTCTCTTTCAAGTTGTGATTTTCCTGGATAGTTATATAACATAGTTTTTATTATGTCCTTGACATTTTGTATAATTTATTGTATCCTATTTATATCTACTTTTCTGTTTTTAGCTACTTGGGTTGAACTTAGGGGTACTTTACCACTGAGCTACATCACCAGCCCTTTTTGATTGTTTACTGTGAGACAGGGTCTCACTAAGTTGCTTAGGGCCTCGTCACTAAGTTGCTTAGGGCCTTGTCGCTAAGTTGCTGAGATTGCCTTTGAACTTGTAATTCTCCTGCCTCAGCTTCCCAAGCCTCTGGGATTACAAGTGTGCACCACTGCACCCAGTTTATATCTACTTTTTTCATTAGTAGTCCCTTTGTTGAGATATAGTGCAAAGAATGGGTGTGCTTTTTGTTTAGCTTCTCATTGGACCTTATTCACACCACCTCAGCAGAAATGGAACACTGACTCACTTACAGTGCCTCAGTGCACATGGTTGATGTGGAAATTCAACACCTCCCTTAGCTCCACTGACTTATTCTCCATGAAAGTGGTGTACTGCATCTGCATTGTAGCACTTCTTTGCCAATGTAAACTCTGGGTCCTGGAGCCCCCAGTTCAAGGGGAAGTAGACTGACTCATATTACATAATTGATATAGGGGGAATCAGAATTTCAGCTTCTTATTGCACCCCACTGACATAAGGGGAAGGAAGAAGAAGGATGCCAGTTACTCAGCCTCATACCACTTCATTCAACATCATTGATTCTGTGTTGGCATGGAGACTTGGCTCTTAGTGTGTACTGCTGACACAAGTCTCATGGAAGAAGGGACAGATTGCTGATTAGCTTGGCTTTGCCCTGCCTTTTTCAGTCTTGCTTTTGCCAGAGGGTGTGGAGGTCAAGCTCCCCCAAAGCTTTGCTGACCTCACGGGAGATAGAAATTGGAGCCCTTACTATCCTCAAGTTGCATAGCTTGTTCAGTCTTAATAAGGCCAGGTAGATGTAAAGGTTAGGTTCCCTACTATGTCCCACTGACACCAAAGCAAGTGGTAAAGTCTAATAGTGACTAATCCTACTCACTGTGCCACATTAAAGTCTTATTGTTGCTGGGTGGGGATTTAGATTTATCTTGCTATATTGGATCCCACCAAAAGTGGGTGGTAAATTGGGACTCTGTCTGCTTTTGCCAGATAGGGATTTGCCAGTTACCCTCTTACTGAGCCCAGCAGAGGAATCAGAGCATGACCTTGCATTTCTTCTCAGTGGATCAAAGATCTCAGCTGGATAATCAGCCTTTTTGATACCACTTGGCAGGGGAATTGGAGTTTGTCATGGTTCCACCTGGTATGGGTGGATACACATTCTTTCATGAATTCTACTCAAGATAGGAATGAGTTACTTTGACTAAGAGCTAGGGAGAAAGAGTCTTATTTCCCTGGCCACACCCACCCAGAAAGGAGCTTCATCTTGCTGAGCTGAATGAGGAAAGAGAGATCACATTGTGGTACAGACTTTCACTTTTCTTATTGTGATTTTGCATATTTCTTAATAAACCTTTATCTTGCTGGTATCCCCTTGGGATAATTTCCAGAGATTTCAAATGGTTGTTGTTAAGTCATCCTTACCTTTTATGTTTTTTTGTAGGGGAGCAGGTATGAGAAAGTTCTCACATGCTAACTGCTTCTCTAGACTTCTTGTGCTGTTTTTAAAATATGGTCATAAATATGATAATATGATCATTCTGCTTTCTTTCATTTATTTAGTTCAATAGTAACTCCAGTGATGACATATGGTCAGCTGGATGGTCTGATAAACAAGTGGAGTCTTGAGCTAGAGGATCAAGAAAAGTATTTTCTTCGTCAGGCCACTCGAGTCAATGCTTGGGACTGCACATTGATGGAGAATGCTGAGGAGGTAAGAAGATATTCTCATTAATCTACCTGCATTGTGCAAATATTTTCAGACGAACACAAGAGAATAGATTTATGTTTTATGGTTAATTTTGTATTGCAATGTTGGCAAGCAGCTTAAAAATATTTTCCTTAGGTAATAAGTGCCCTGAATTAGGAAATGTTTTATATTTAAAGTGTATATGAGAAAGTTAATATTGCACTGATGTTATTGAGTAAATTCAAATATTCTATTTTCTTCTTATTTCTCTTTAAAGATTTCTATTTTACATGGAGAAGTGGAAAAAGTGAAACTGGATCAGAAAAGGTAGAACCTTACATTTCTTTGGTTGAGGAACAAAAAACTATCTTTTTGTTCAGATTTTCCCCTTGTTGTAGTTTATTGATATTTATTTTGTTATTCTAAGTTCCTTTCATTGATTCTTCTATTGACTTGTTTTATTCAGATTGGAGCAAGAATTAGATTTTATCCTGTCACAGCAGAGGGAACTAGAAGATCTTTTGACTCCTTTAGAGAAGACTGTGAAGGACCAAAGCGAGTCTGTTTATCTGCAGCATGAAGATAAGGAATATGAGAGGATGTAAGTAACTGAATAAAGGTTGAGGAATGGGGAAGAAGTTACCTACTATGAGAGTGTTCCATAAAGCAGGGAAAAATTGAATCAGAAGGCAGAGGTTAAGTATTAGTAGAAAAGGAGATGTTCTTACAGTTGACCTTTATCAAGTTGTTTGACTATTTTGTGGGTTACTTTTTTTTTTTTTCAAAAGCTCGAAAATGAAGAAATCATTTTGGCAATTTTGTTTTATAGCATTCTATACACTGTTATTAATCTCAACCTAATGTATGCCCACTGTAAAGTTTATATTTGTCAAGTTTGTTCTTAAATTAGAAATATAAATTTTATGTGTGTGGTGTCATAGTATTATAGAATATTTATGGTCTCATATTGACTCGTCTAAACCTAATGCTCATGCAATTGCTTTAGTGATGAATTATTTGCTATTTTAAAGGCAAATTTGTTAAACTGGTGGTAAACTATATGAGTTTCAAAAATGGAATGATTTTTGTCAATGTCTCAGGGTAGGTATATTTACTGTACTATTTAGTCTTTACCTTCTGTCAGTTCATTGCCAGTGTTCCAGAGTAACTTTATCTCTGGAACTGAGATTTAGTAATCAGTCCAATTTAAAGAGTGTAAGGAGACTTTGAATGAATGTACTATACAATCTAAATTGATACTGTTTTATTGATGGCTTATTAGTGAGTTAAGACAGAAGTGCTTTTGTTCAGGCTGGCCTTGAACTCCTGGGCTCAAGTGATCCTCCTGCATCAGCCTCTGAGTAGCTCAGATTATAGGTGCTAAGCTCATTTTTAAAAGGTTTTCAAGTTGACTTTTTTTGTAGGGACATTAAATGTGGTAAGTACAGCTAATTTGTACTGACCCTAATTCTATTTCTTCTTTTGTATTTCAGCCTTTGTTGATCAATCCTTTCCCTCTCCCCCACCTATCTCCCTTTCCCTTCCTTCCTTCCTTCCTTCCTGAATTCTGTGTATTCTCTTTTTTTTAAAAACAGTTACATTTTTGTTCATAAGATCTTAACTGTACTTTGAAGAAATATTTGTAACATTAATTCCTAATTGCTCTTTTGTAGTCATATTTATATTGTGATAAAAATTTCACCATAAGCCTCAACAATTTAGGCAATCTATAAGTACTTTCACACAGAAGGGCCAGATGGTTACCAGTAAATCTAATTGAGTCTTTAATTTTTAAAGACATTAAAGTGGAAAATTATCTGGCGACTTTAATTCTTGTAAACATTTATTGGCTAGGTTAAGTGTGGGTTTGTGTGTGTGGGTGTAGTAAATAATTTGGATGGAAATATTGATAATGTAGGCCACTAATCAATTTGTCTTGAACTAAGATTTATCTACCTTTTATAATTATAAAGCTTATTTCCCAAAATAGCTTTTGTTGCCTGGTGGAATATATTTATATAAAGTTTTACCTTGGACATCTATGTATTTATGACCATTGAAGAAATCTCAGCATTTGAAATTTGCTAAACACTAACTTGTTTTGGATATCTAAATGTCCTATAGATGTATTTTGTCATTAAAAAGAGTTTCTTTGAGACTGGGGATATAGCTCAGTGGTACAGCATTTGCTTAGCATGCATGAGGCTCTGGGTTCAAACCCCAGTACTGGAAAAAAGGAAGAAAAAGAAAAAGAGTTCCTTTGCTCACCAGAGCATTAGCAAGATGGTACATAGGTGAAACTAAAATAATGGCAAGGCAAATAAAAGCTTTTACTTTTAAAATCTACATAAAATAGGATGGTGAACATTGTATCCATGAAAAATATGCCATTGGTCATAACTGATACCCGCTGAGAAGGTAGGGAAATTGAGACAAATCTAGTTGACAGTATTATCTTTGTATGTAAATAACAGTAGATATGGGGACAACATTTCGTGTTAATTTATTTACCTGCCTTTGCAGTTACAAATTAGCAGAAACTATAGATGCTCAGCTGAAACGAATGTCCCAAGATCTCAAGGACATTACTGGTCACCTGAATACATTTGGAAATCCTGCTGCCACTACTGATCGGGTATATTTTTTGCTTTATATATCTAGACAGTCAAAATGTAGTATGAAATTACCATTCTATGGATTTTTTTAGTTAGTCACTGTCTGTCCTCCATAACAGTGCTTTTTATTTATTTATTTATTTATTTTTTGATGCATAGACATATGAGGCACTTGGGTTTGGTTAGTAGGACAGGAGATACTTAGAAGCAGAGATGATTATGATTTTTTTTGTGGTTATTCCTAGGAAGGTGAAAAAAATTTACTCTTTACTTTTGATATTTTTAGGGTTTTCTCCTTTGTATGCATAATTAAATATGTTTCCCTGTACTTACTTTTCTGTTCACTTATTTATCATCTGGTTTATTCTTTTTACATATGTATTTATGTTCTCATATAAATGTGAATAGATAAGTTCAAGTCTCTTAGACATTCAGGCAATCCTTAATTTATGAGTAGGTTATATCTTTAAAATCTGGTGAGTTAACTGTTGAGACTTAACATATATTTATTCATAGAAAATTTGGTAAATGTGGTCATTAGGTTTCTACCTGCCCCATAAAATACTACTTAGCTCATGATGTAAATGTATTATATCATGTGAAAATAAAGCTGAGGCTTCAGTTAGAATAGACATGCTGTGAATTCATTAAGTGTTAAGAAAGAAGTGTATTACTTGATTTTTCTATATTTTCATTAAAGAGCTTATTTCCTCTGCTTTCTTTATTGTCTTAGCAGCTAAATAGAGTCCTCTTTTTCCTATTCTCACTCCACGGCAGTAAGAGGAATCATATATTGTGGGAATTCCTATTATATTTTCTATCAGCTAATTATAACTAGCAGTAGAGCCAAGGTCTGGGTAGATGAGAATGAATGACATATGTACAAGTAGTGATTATTCTTTAGTAAGTTCTTTGTTCAATTATATATATAGACCACTCTTAATCCACATACATATTACTAGCTTTTTTAATCATAAAGAGCACGTTATAGTTGAGAAAGCATTAGAATTTTGTTTAAGTCACTTAATCTCTCTGGGTCTGGGTTTCTTCTTTTGCAAAATGTCAAGGATAGATCATAATAAATGATCTTTAAGTCCCTTCTAGCTATGAAAATTATGCCATTCTCTACTCTAGGTGGATCTAAAGTTGAACAAAGACAAATATGAATCAGTCAGGAATTACCCATGCTGCCATCTCCCTATGTTCACACAAATGATCAAACATTAACAAAGTAGTTTTTGTTCTAATGAAATATTAGATCACCATTGTGATTCCAAAATTCAAAATTGTTTTGTTGTAATAAAATTTTGATGCATAGATAAATACATGTAGATTTAGACATGAAGCAGAGCTGGTGTCTAGTCCCTCTGTTGATTTAATATGAGAAGAATGTTCTCAGCAGAGCAAGTAAAAGGTTACTGTAATCTTATCTTCATCGTTTTTCTCTACTAAGCCCAATATTGCTTTATTTTATTCTAGTAATAGTGAATCATTTGAGTCTTTTTGGTTTTGGTGTTCCTAGCAGAGGTGATTGGGATGTTTAGTATGAATGAGTTAAAGCTTAATTACTGCTTAAGGGCAGGACAAAAGAAGCAAGAAATCTTCAACAACTCATCCCTTTTTTTCCTTCCTGATCATAAATCATCAGACAGGAAGCAGAAAAAACACTTCTGAACAATAATATTACTGAAAATAATTGATTGTATACATCAACAAAGCTTTCTTATAGTGGGCCGCATATTAGGGTATAAAAATAGCAACTATTTTCCTATTCACAGTGAGGGAATTAACCTGTTTTTATTTCCCTTTTATTTGGCAGGGGTGGAAGGAAGGGGGTATGGTAGTAATGGGAGAGACCACCTAATATTTAATTAAAGTTTTTATTAAGCAAATCCATATTATTCTTTTATTCAGTTATATTTTCTCATAAAATCCTTGAAGGAAATTAAATCACATATATTACCAGTAACCTGCTATTATATTGGTGTATTTCTTCTTAGTCACTTTGCTATGCTGGTTCTTTTTTTGAAAACAACACTGGAAACATACCATATAGATTTTTGCTTTCTGTCTTTATTTAATATTGTTTCATGGTACTTTCCCAAAGTTTTAATAGTTTTAGGATATTTTATCAGAGGAGAGTTTGCCATAATATATTTAGTCATTTCTTAATTGCTATAGATATTTTTGCAATTTGGGGTCAATATAAAACAGCCCTGTACTGACCACTTATATTTAGATTTGATTATTTTCTCTGGCTACACTCCTGGAAATAGATACAATATGCTGATTCAAAAGGTATGATTATTTAAACTTTTGATATATGTTATAAAATTATATATTTTAAAAGGTTGAGCCAATTTACATTACTATTGGCTATGTATTAATGTATGTATTTTTCTCACATATAAATTGAGCATTTCTAATGTGCAAATTTGAAATCTTAAATGCTTCAAAATCAAAACTTTTGAGTGCTGACATGCCAACACAAGTGAAAAATTCCACACCTGACCTCATGGGATGGGTCATAATCAAAATAAATGCATAGCTAGACCAGGGATGTAGCTCAGTGGTAGAGTGCTTGTCTAATGTGCATAACACCCTCAGTTTGATCTCTAGCAGTGCAAACAAACAAGCAAATAAAACACAGGCATAATAAATTATTGTGTAAAGTTATCTTTAGGCTACGTGTATGAGGTATATATGAAACATAATGATTTTAGACTTGGATCCATCTCCATGATATCACATTGTATAATATGCAGAACTTTCACAATTAAAAAAAAATCAAGTGCTTAAAACACTTAGGGCCCCAAACATTTTGGATAACAGATATTTAATCTGTACTTGGCAATTGAGTACACATTTAAAAAATACTGATTTGATTGATAAATGTTGCTTTTTAAATTTTTATATGAATTTATTTTCTTATGAAATGTCTCTTAATGTTCTTTATTTTTATGCTGTAGTAGTCACTTTCTTATTGAATTGTAGGAGTCTCATTCTTGACAGTTAAAAAAAAGTAAATGCATTGTACTAATATGTAAAAGTAATGAACATTTTAAATATGAAATATCAAAAGAAACAAAAATTCATTAATATTTAGTCTATTCTCAGTCCATGTCTTACCAGAAAAAATAAAAATCACTTCCTAATTTCAATTTACTTATTTTTTTGTTGACCACATCTGAATAATCATTATCTAAAAGTATTGAATGTATTTTTAGCTCCAGCAGATCTGCAAAATTCTGAATGCTCATCTGGACTCTCTTCAGTGGATTAATCAGAATTCAGGTGGGAGTTTATTCATATACCAGGTTCTATTTATTATAATGTGTTATAAGTCATGGTGTGTGCTCCATGACATACTCACATAATAGCTCAGTTTTAGGGGTGTTGCTTAACTCATGCCTACCATTAGTTCTGAAGAATTATCTGGAAATTAATGAAAATACAAGGTGGACAGGAATGAGATGTAGGGTATTGGGATAGAATCAGGACTTCTCTGAAGTATACCTTTTGTCCAGTTTTTTATTTGGGAACCATATAAATATTTTATATACTAAAAATTATAATTAAGCCAAAATTAACTGGAAGAAAGACAAATACTAACTTGGAATATACATTAAAACTAAACAAAGGTGCGTAACTGTAACAATCACTCAATTCAGATAACTTTTGAACATAGTATTCTTGGTAGTATATTCTTAATATGATGTTACCTGAAAAGACCTGCAGAGAAATCTTAAACTTTCTTAATGGAGCTAGGCACAGTGGTGTATGCCTGTAATCCCAGTGACTTGGGAACGTGAGGCAGGAGGATTGCAAGTTGAAGGCCATCTTCAGCAATTTAGTAAGGCTCTAAGCAACTTAGCAAGACCTTGTCTCAAAAATAAATAAATGCAAAGGACTGGGAATATAGGTTAGTGGTAAAGCACCACTGGATTCAATCTACAGTATTGCAAACAAACAAAAAAACAAAAAAAAGAAAAGAAGCCTTTCTTAATACATTTATTGTTAAAAAATTATGATACCAATGTTGCTACCATTTTATGTATATGGTAGAATAAAGCAAATGTGTGTGTGTGTGTGTGTGTGTATAACTGATAATAAAAATTATTGTCTTCATTAAAATATAAAAGAGATACTAGAATCTTTATTTCCTTTTATATTTGTATTATAAATTTGAATTGTAAATATTCTTATTCCTTTGTTCTATATAGAGACAGGGCCTAGAAGCAATGAAAGACACCTCAGTAGTAACGGGCATACCCAGTACCTAGCTCTTGGTTTCTAAATACCATTCCCACTAAAAGGAATCAATCTTTTTGGTTAACTATCTGATCTTAGGCAAGGAAAGTACAGGGTGAGTTTCGGACTTTTTGTTCAAGAAAGCAAACATTGTTAAATGACTAATGAGGTTATATCAGGATACAAGATTGTACTTCAAGGGATTCCTGCTGACACATTAGTATATTTAAACATGAAAAAGAATAACAAAAGTAATAGATTATAATATGTTACCATGAGTTTCCAATGATAATCCAAAAAGAGAGAGAAATAAGAAGTAAAGGAGAATGCCTTTATAAAAGTATGCCAACTAATAATTATAGAAGAAATGATAGAATTCAGAAACCATCATTAAATCAGCAGAACATTTTTATTTTATTAAGTTCACCTTGATCTTGAATATCCTGTTTCATGTATAAAATATTTCAACTGTCAGTCATTTCTTGGCAGAAAAGTAGGCTAGCAGGAAGTGGACCAGATACAGACTGCGAGTTACTGAGTTAATTAAAAAAAACAGTTTTATTGATGCATAATTTATATTCCATAAAACTCAGCATTTTAGTTGTACAATTTAGTGAGGAAAAAAATCACCACTTTGCAGCACAAGCATAACAGTTGATTTAGGCAAGGCTCATCAATGGATGCTAAAACTATTGAATTAAAGATTATTGGAGAATAGCATATGTATGTCTACTCAAAAATATCACTCTACAGGTTACTTAAAAATTACAAAATAAAATATATGCCTTTACCAAGACCTTTGTGACATGTGCCACTTTAGTGAAGTGATCAAACTTGGCCTAACCAGTGGTGGGATGACTTGACATAATGTGCCTCTTGACTTGACGTGACGAGAAGTATACAATATCACATATATAGGATTCTTACCAAAATAACCTTAATCGAATGCAAGAAAAAAAATCAGACATTCTGTGTGTGAGACATTAAAAATATAATTGGCTTGGACTCTTTAAAATTCAAAACAAAAAATTTAAGGGGATGGTCTTAGATTAAACAGGCATAGGACTGGGTATATGGCTCAGTGGTAGAACACTTGCCTAATACATAGAAGGCCCTGGGTTTGATCCCAAGCACTGCCAGAGAGGGACAGACAGAGACATAGATATAACAATCAAGTGTACCATGTTAACCTATATGGACTATATATTGTATGATATTAAGGAATTGCTTATTTTCCTAGGTGTGATAGTTATGAATATGTAGGAAAATAACCTTTTTTTTCTTAGAAAATGCAGGCTACATTATTTAGAGAATTTTCATGTTTGTAGTGTACTTCCAAATTGTTCAGCCGAAACCATGTGTGAAGAGAAAGACATTTAGCAATTTGTGACAAAATGGTATGAGCAGGTTAATCTTGGTAAAAGGTATTTAAGTGTGTGATTTTTGTTATTCTTTCAACTTTCCTACAAATTTAAAATCAAAATTTGGGGAGGTCATTTTTCAAAGACTTTGCCTAAATATAGAATATAATGAGGAATATGGAATATGATGGTAGGAATTGAGGTAAATGGGAACTAGTTAAACAATCAGAGTTATTATTTTCAAGATGTGGCCTTAAAATAATACTATTTTTCTTACTTGGAATTCTGGATTCCTCATTTTCTGCATGAATGGAAGTCAGCAGCAATGAACTTATTCAGCTTCTTTCCCTTCCAGACATACTTACATCGTTATTCATCTTTATGTCCTTCTCTCCTGTGTTAGAGAAATATATGTCTTATCCCTTTCTAAACTGTTTAGAATCATCAGAGGGAAGTTAAATAGTGTTAATATTCATTTGTGACCTGGTGAGGTTTCTGAGTCAGGTATAGGATTCAAGTCAAGGAATTAACTCTTCATAGTTGTGCACTTATTTTTCACTTGGTCTCTATGAGTCTGTACCATTGTTTTTAAACTGACAACTAATATCTACCTTTTAGATGTTTTGTAAGGATTAAAAGAAGAACCTTTGAATCTTGGCCTGTGGGTTGGTTGTCAGTGAATAGTAGTGGTAGAACTGGTTACTGGTTATCCAAATTTACTATGTATATGAGGTGGGGGAGTCAGAAAAGAAAGGTTGTGGGATTCAAAAAGTAGCTGTTAAATTGGGTCTTGAGAAGATAGTTCCAGATAGACTATCATTAAAAATCACTTACCTAGAGAAGTTGTAAGAACAACTGTGATGTGGGGAAATGTCAATAACAGGAACACTAAGGAATGAAATTATACAAAATTTCCCTGTTACATGCTTTTCTCCATTGAACAGTGATTCTTGGGTAGAGCTGAGGGGGATGTCAAAAGGCAATTTGGATTATACAGAAAAATTGCAGTGATTTTTTTTTCTCTTGGCAGGGATCCTCTTTGTCATAAACGAAATCTCAAGGCTTTCAGCCAGTGTCTCCTTTATAAAATTAAGGTTGTTGGTATTGCAAGGGACTTACTTTATATAAATGAAGATATTGTGGCTCAGAGAAGTTGAATGGCTTCCTTAAGAACACACAGCAGGGGCTGGGGTTGTGGCTCAGTGGTAGAGTGCTTTCCTAGCACATGTGAGGCACTGGGTTTGATCCTCAGCACCACATAAAAATAAATAAGTAAAACAGAGGTTAAAAAAAAGAACATATTTATTTTGGGGAAAAAAACCCTGCAGGGCTGAGGATATAGCTTAATGGTGTTTGCCTAGTATGCATGAGGCCCTGGGTTTGATCCTCAGCACTGCAAAATAAGTAAATAAGTATAAATAACACTCCAATGTAGGCATTACTTGATACAAAAACAAAAACAAATCTTATTTGTGTACCTATCAGTAGAGGACAAAGGTTTTAAAAGTTTGATAGTACTTTGGGATATGAGTTTTGGGTATCTGGGTAAAATTCTCAGTCAAAACAGGTAACAAGAATAAGACAATGGAGAGTAATGATTACTGGGATTTGTTTTTCGGCTAAAAATTCATTTGAGCTGAAGAGGCAACAAGAGTTTGTGTACGTTCTTTACTGAGACAAGGAAGGTCATGCTGAAGAATGCGAAAAGGCTTGGTAATTCTTTTTTTTGTTTGTTTTGGGTGGTGCTATAGATTGAACCCAGAGACATTTTTACCACTAAGCTACATACCCAGCCTTTTTTTTTTTTAATTTTGAGACAGGTCTCCTTAAATGGCTCAGGCTGGCCTTGAAGTTGTGATCTGCCTACCTCAGTCTCCTGAGTCCCTGGGATTATAGGGGTGTGTCACCATGCCAGGAAGCCTGGTAATTCTTGATACTGTATACTTTTTGTCATTCCCACTCAATGAGCCTTTCCTTTTCATATCAGGAAACTACATGATCAGGAAATGGAGCATGGCAGGGTTTAATTATACTAAGAGAGGTTTTTCTAGTTATTTTGTTTTGTTTTTTAATAGTTAAATTGGATCATGTCTGCTGAAAGGGTCTATAGTCTGAAACTTTTAAGATCAGATAAATCAATTTATTCACATTGAGATAATATAGAAAAACTAATGAATATGTTATTTTGACAATACACGCATATTTTGCTAAAGAGAAATCTTGTATATAAAGTCAAATCTTCATTTTAAAAGGTTTCTGGGAAATGTTTTTTATGATTTAATATCTTTAATGTTGGCACAGATTTTTCATCATGAAACATCAACTGTTACACTAATAGAATTATATATTTAACTGAAAAATCAGCTCTTTAAAAGTGATTTTGATGTACATTACTAAGTGAAAGAAGCTAATGCCAAAAGGCTATATGCTGTTTGAGTCCAACTTTGACATTCTGGAAAAAACAAAACTGTAGAAATATAAATTTGTATAAAGATCAATGGAGGTGGAGGAAGAATAGACAGAACATGGGAGATTTTTAGAACAGTGAAAATATTTTGTATGATGTACTATTATCAAATCATGGATGCATGTCATTATACATTTGTCAAAGCCTACAGAATATTAATGCCAAAAGTGAACATTAGTGTAAACTATGGACTTTGGGTAATAATTTGTTGATGT